AAGGCTACACAGAGAAACCCTGTCTCGAAAAACAAAACAAAAACAAACAAAACAAAACAGAACAAGAGCATTTATCTGTGAACAGGCACGGGCTTTAAAGAGAGTGACTACACTTCAGCTCTGAAAATACTTATGAAGGAGGACTAAGTTCCAGAGTTAGAGAAAGGATGGATTTACAGACAGGATCTCACTGTAGCCCATGCTGGCTTCAAATTCTCACCGGTCTTCCTGCCTCAGCCCAAGTGCTGGGATTACAAGTGTGAATTACCATGTTGGCAACTGTTATAATTACCTGGACTTGATCCGTGGGAACAACTACCTGACTGCTCCCAGGTTTAACACAGAGAAAAACCACAGAAGGAAGACTTGGGTACGGGTCCAGAGCAATGGAATGCGGATCCTGCAGCACATTTAGGTTCCTATTTTTAGAAACAAGGATTTCCTCCATCCTATCAACCTTTTAACATTCATGGCACTTACTTTAAAATTATAAAAATGAGCTAGGCCCAGAGGCCTAGACCTGTGATTCCAGCTATTTGGGAGGCTGAGGCAGGAGGATGACAAATTTAAGGCCTGCCCAGAATACATAGTGAGTATTCCCAGCCTGGGAGACCTAATGAGACCTGGTCTCAAGATTTCAGAGAGAGCTGGAGACACAGCTCAGGGGTAAGGCACTTGCCCAGTATACATGAGGCTGGAAGTTCAGAGCCCAGTGCTGAAAAAACTCTAGGTATGTACATACATTACACATACCCACCTTCCTAAGTGAACAGCAATGATTTTCCTCCACCATATCCATCTTTCTAAAGCGGCTGACTCATTCAACTAACAGCACTGTGGACCAGTGTTCTCAACCTTCTCCTGCCTCAGCTGCCGTTACTCCATGATAGGAGAGTGATGTTGACGTGCATTCTACACTCTCAAAGTCCAGATGTCTGGATTTCACAATGCAACAGATAAAATCAACTGGCATTATGCAAGTTTGCCAAGTCTACCTGTAACGCCATTTCTGCTGTGAGGATGTTTACTGAGCACTTACTGTCTGCCAAGTACCCAGGTGCACTGCATACAGCCGACACTTTCATTCCCATGGGAACCTCTGAGGCCCATAAGAAAATGATGGTCGTGAGGACAACAAGCCACAGAGTTTAAGGAACTCCCCTCAAGATCACCAAGACTGAGTGACAGGCTTTGGGATCAAATCTGGGTCACGTGATCCCTGGGATCCATGTTCTGACACACCACTTTATTCGGAATGCACATGAAGAAAATCATACAAAGGATTTGTTCTAGCATATTGCTATCTACTATATACAAACGGCATCTTGTTATTAAAAGTGAAAGTATCTCACCAGCACAGGTGTGTCTGGGTGTTCCCCACATCGATCCACCTCCAAATGGCCCTGAGACCTCACTGCTCTCCCATTCAGAATTATGGAAAGTCTAAGTGTGGCCTCCCTATTACTTTTCAGTGAAACTTTGTTCACCCTAAGATTATAGGACTGTGGGAGAGCCACTGACAGACAGCTCCAGTCTTTTGATATGAAATCTGCTCCTCTAATGAAGAAGGAATGCCTATTTGGAGAGCCAATTAAAACTAATTACAAGTTTTAAGTACTTCTAGGCACTTCAGCTAGAAAATGAAGTTCAAGGTGAAGGAACTTCATTTTCAGAACTGCACTAACGAGAACCAATTTAGACTCTTAAAGGTCTCTCTTCCTTGTACAGACGGGATCGACAGCAGAAACAAACAACTTATGAATCACAGTGTGTGTGGCTTCATGAATGAGAGTTGAACAGAATGGACAGAAAGCTACACCAAATACAACTTCCGAGGAAAACCATCCCATTTAGCGTCTGCCACGTGCTCTTCAGCAAGGAACTCCTGACAGGCGGGCTTGTTCTGAAAATCAAACTTAGTTCAATTTTAAAATCCGAGGGTGACTGCAATTAAAAATCCGCACTTTTACAGCCACCTTGGTAGAAGCTGTTTAAAGACGAAGACTCGTAATGCCACCTACAGGGGACCTTTAGAACCACAGCCCTGGTTCTCTGTCCCATCCTCGGAATTAATATCCCCAAATCTCACTCATCGGGACATTTAACCAGAAAGCTCGAGGAGAGGGTGACAAAGAAATAAAAAAAAAAGATCCACCACCGTTTTGGATTATTACTTCTTAAAGTAACTGAAGCCAACCTAATTTCACCATCTACAGTCCGCAGACACAGCAATACATGAGAGCAGAAGACGCAGTTAAGCAGCCACAAAGGTCCCTCAAGTTCTCCGCAGAACATGGGGGAGACTCAGGTTATTGGTGATGAAGTCTGAAATTTGCCTCTTTGAACTGTAGAATCCCTCCTTTTCATGCCCTCTCTGCTCAGATTTCTCTGTATTTTCAGACACTTTGACAGTGATCGCAGTTTCTAAAGTTGTTCATAAGGTTTTTAGAGTCAGCTCTCACTGTGTGCAGGACAGGCCATTTCATCTCTAAATGTTCTTCTCCCTCCGCTCTGCCCTCCCTCTTGGGAAGCAGACACATGCTTCTTTACGGTCATGGTTCTCAATGTAGGATCAACATTAAAGCTACCCGGAGTCTTTCAACACTAACATCACGCCTCTTGTTTAATTGGGCTTGGATGAAGCTTGGGCAGAACATAGCTTCGGCTTCTGTTTGCTTCCACTTTCCCAGGTGACCTCACCATGTAGGATGGTTTACGAAACACTGCCCCAAAGCAGGGCTGCAACCCTTCCCAGCTGACTTCCACCTGCTTTCTGGAAGTGCTTTCTGGGCCCCACTGTGCGCAGCAGCAGGGCCTACTTGTTCAAGAGGATCCTGATTCATCTCGGGCAGTTTCCTTAGGCACTAGCTATGGTGTGGACAGCTGGGACGTTCTGGCTCATGCCCAGCCATCGGCATCCTCATCTGTCTGTTGCACCTGCTATTTATCTTTGAGATGTGGTCTTGTTACTTTGTGGCCCGGAATGACCTTGAACCTCTGGTCCTATGGCCTCCACCTTCCAGGTGCTGGGGTTCCAGATGTGTTCTGGGCAGCTCGCTCTCTCTGGACATACACATTGCTGCTAAGCCTTCCAGCCCCCAACTGATCACAGATCACTTCCCAGGCTGGTAGGGTCCATCTACCCCCTGCTTCTGTGCTCACAGCAGTCCAGTTCAGCCCCAAGCTCTGGTCTAAAACAGTCAGATCACTCTCCCAGGTCAACACAAGCCTGAGCAGAGACGCTGGTCTCCCTTCACCTTCAGCGAATCCCAGTTACCTCCCACGTCCTTCTTCTGGTGGTTCCCAAGTACAGGGCCCTGTTCCACTAACAGGCCCCAATGTGCCAAATACTGAACTCTTCCAAAACTGGGGTTCCCCCAGGCTTCTCTGTGTGGAACGCAGTTGGTGCCTGTGTTCTCTGGAGGAGCACCCCTCGGCGAAGTCCTGCACTAGAGCTCAGTGTTGGCCTCATTCCAGAACAGGGAACTTTAAGATCCCCTTTCATTCTGCTACCAATTACTTAAGTCCAGTTGCTCCCTCCAGTCAGGTCCCCAGAGGCAGTGACTGCGGAGGACAGGTTAGGGAGTGGGTCTAGCGAGCAGGGAGGGCAGGCGAGCAGGGTGTGACTTCCAGAAAACCCGCACTAAGTTGTTCTCTGGGCTAAGCCAGCTGGACTGCATGTGCACAGTTCCGAGGAGGGAGGAATAGAAAGCGGAGCTGGGTGGGGAGGCTGTGGGAATCTGAGGGCGTCTAAGGTCAGTGTTGGCTTAGGAGCTCCATGCTGTGGAGCAAGCTGCCAAGTGTAAGCTATTACCTCCCAAGCGTCACACCTTTAGCCTCTACTAACCGCCTGGGGCAGACTGCCTCAAGAGGTGGCACACACCAACACGGTCCTTTGAAAATGTAACAGCAGGCGAGCTTTAAAACCTAAGAAAGCTCCCACATAAAGCACTCACTGTTCTGAACTCCGACTCTAGTCTCAAAGTCTCTACATGGAGCCGCTACTGCTTTCTGGAAGCCTCCAAATGTTCATCTCTTCAAAGTCACTTTGCAAGCATTCAGAGTCACAAGGTTCCAGAAACATGTTTATTTCAACACGTGAAACGCGCCACCTCGCACCATGACTGTGAATCCCAGAATTCCATCTGGTTACTACTTTTTTGGAACCGGTGATGGTGTTCAAGTCACTGAAAGATTAGTTCATGTGAGCAGGTGATTACTGGAACAAAAACTGGAGACAACGTAGTAAAAAGCATGTGATAAATGTGCACTGAACTAATTTTTAGTTACTCAAAACAACAACAACAACAACAACAACCCAGTTTCGTGTAAATGTGATGTCTTAATATCGGTATTTTAAAATCAGATTTTCTTGGATGGCATTCACGAGAAAACTGCTGGACCGGGTGAGCACAGACACCTGTAACTGGCTTTCTTTTCTCATGCTATCCTTTGGAGACAGCATCTGTCTTAGTGACCCACTGGAGGACCCCTAACTCTTGAAATCACTCACTACCTGTAATGGGGGAAACGAAAACTCTGACCAGTAAAGACGCAAGGTAATATTTTCCGTTTCTTTTAAAAGAACACGTAAGTATTAAATGTATCAGGAAAAAGAAAAAACACTATTACACAACTATGTAAAAGTATGACCGTCTTTGAAATTTACCTGAAAGACAAATTAAAATTTACTGCTTCCAAGTTAAACATAACCATACAGTAAGAGATAACTATGATTGCTAATTGGGCTGAGTTATCTCTACTTTTGTTTTTTCTTTCTCTCTTGAGACTGGGTCTCATTACGCCTGGAACTGGTTCTGTAGACCAGGCTGGTCTGGAACTTAGAGACACGCCTGCTTCTGCCTCCCCAGTGCTGGGATCAAAGGCGTGGGCCACCATGACCAGCCTTCAAAACATTACTATATAGTAACAGATAGATATCATTAGAAATCGAATCAACTTATCTCTAGTTTCTTGAAAATGTACTGAGTCAACCATGCTGCTTTAGAACTGAGGCTAACCTCAAATTTATTTTTATTTGAGTGATCCCAGTGTTTTTTTAAGCAGACCTTGGTGCTGAGCTAAGTTAACCCAAGTTGGACTACAGGTCCGCTGCAGGCAGGTGTTTCACACTGGGGGCGGTCCGTGGTGGTCGTCATCCATGGACAGGTCTCTAAGGACATGCTGGAGAAACTGTAACGCGCTCTCCCATGCTGTATGCACATGCTCCATTCACAGCTGCACCTTACCCAGGATGTCAGGAGCGTGGGTAAGATGGAAGAGGGATTCATGATGGCAGTTTCTATAAGGAAAGGGGGGGGGGGTTAGACATTAATTTCACATCACCAACTTATTTATTAGGTGTTTTATACTATGTGATACACCCAGTAGTGGCTAAATGCAATTCAAGTGACCAGCCGTGTGCAATGTTTAGAGGTGGTTCTTAGCCTGCATCTAAAGCAATCAAGGAGAAAACAGATGTATGACTATCATCAAAAACCTCTGTGCTGCAAAAACTACACCACCAAAACATTCAGACACCCACAGAATAGGAGAAATCTGCAGTCACACATCTGGCATCAAGAGGCAAAGGAGTCTTAGAATATTAAAGGCAACTCCATTTGAGACTGGGAAAACATGTCTCTAGTGCTATATAAGATACTGAATATCATTAACCATTAAGAAAAAGAGAGTCGGCCCCTCACCTCCCGCTCTCCCTTAACCAAGAGGCGCTCCAATAAAAGTGTGTTCTGAGAAGAAAAAAAAAAAAAAAAAAAAAAAAAAGAAAAAGAGAGTCAAAACTGCAATGAGATCCCACTCCACATTTACTCCAATAGCTCCAGTCAGGACAGATGGACAGATAGACGTGTTGGTGAGGATATGGCAGTGAGGGAGCCCGGCACACCAACGGTGGGGATGCCGACAGTTACAGCCGCTCTGGAAGGTTTGGTCACACTTCACCATACCTATGCAGCCTCTAGACTCAGACAGACCCAGGACTTGGAAAAATGTGCACACACAAGAATGGTCACAGCAAGCCGGGTGGTGGTGGTGGTGGTGGTGG